TTCGTATCGAATACCGTTATAAAATTATGATTACATGACGGGAATTGTGTTCCGAATGCATTTATTTATACTGCGGACGCCGAGTTGCATGGAGTACCCATAGCTTTGAATCTTAGTTTTTAGCCCAACAGGTTATGGGGGATTGTATTTCTTTCTTGATATAATCGGCCAATAGTAATTCTCAGTTACACAACATTTTGCCTGCATTAACTGCTACCAATCAGCAGTCTTTGAATCGGACCATTTTTACGGTGCTCCGTATCGAATCGTTTATACTTGATACGATTTTTGAATGTTTTTTCTATAACATATTATGTAAAGTGGGGTCAAAATACGGTCTAATGTGACTGTCGAAATCAAATTTGAGTGTCTTATTAAAACCTTGGTTGTGATATCATCCAACATGGAATGGAGAAATTTGGAAATATTGTATTATACTAGATTTGCTTAATATGGTCTGTATGCATGGGGAATATTCTAAGTAAAGATTTGCTTAATATTAAGCACCTTGTCCTATCTGCTGCAGGAGATTACGTATTTTGGCATCAACGAACAATAAATATTCTTTATGCTCGATTTAGTTGATTATAAATGAAAGGGGGATAAATTCCCATAAAAGAGTTCTCGATACAAATTGTGATCATTAGATTATTATTATTAGTACATACAAACACACAGGGACGGGGGTCATCACTGAAATATTTGTAAACATATGCGACTTTAAGCATACTTACTTTTTTTAATCATAAGATCGAACAATTCTGCTTTCAAGCATTGTACTTCCGCAGCATAATCGGATTATTAGTGGGCTGAATGTAAAAAAAAAAAAAGGGCTTGATACTAATGCAGAAGAAATTTGAATGAAAACAGGAAAAAAGAAAAAGAAAAAAAAAAAAAGAGATTAAATCACACATATAGTGATCGACAAAATAATACTAAAAGGTAACCAATCAAACGATTATTGATTTAATTTTAGTTAATCAGGTGAAAAAAATGTAAGAATAAAAAAGGGGAATTGTGATTGATATAAATATAACAGCTCGGATCAAGACACCGAACAGACGTGCGTTTGACAATAGTAAAAGTAAATAATTTAAATGAGGCATTACACAATGCAAAATTTCAAATATATCATTCAATAAATACCTGGAATATTTGTTCATGTTGTAGTTGCTGTTAATGGCAAATAAATGCAATCATATTCAAATAATTGGTCAACCTGTCAGCCTGCCTGCGCAATATCTTTTATCGCCACGGTTTTATATGGAAATGTGTGTCCACGCAGTCTAATGCTCAATGAACAACCGACACATTCGCGACGTGATTGGACAGTGTTTATTAAAAGAACCGTCTTCATCAGTAGCATTTACAATAATCGTGAAGAGTACAATACACAACAACGGCTATGCAAAAAGTTAACAAAGCATAAAGTACGTATTGTACTATTGATGATTGTTTTTAGTCTGCGGGAAACGAGGTCAAAATCGATATAAGTATCCCTCTCTGTAAGAGCTGAAAATTCTCAGGTCAAACTTTTTCGCCTTCGATTGACCTAAAAATTTTCGTATACTATAATGCCATCATCTCCCGAACGACGCCGACAGGCACGCATTAACCGTCGTACAAAGCCTCCACGGCCTCCGAACGCATTCTTTCTATTTCGCAATGAAGTTCGGATGCAGGAAGCTTCCCTGAATCAGCAACAAGTATCAAAAATAGCAGCTGAAAGATGGCGGCTACTGCCTGATTGTGAAAAAAAGCGTTATGCCCGCTTAGCAGAAGCAGAGGCAATTCGTCAGAACGTGACATCTTCGTATCATCACAACACGTTCAACATCCAAGAAGACAATCCAAACGCGGTATTCGAGATTGTCTATCCTTATGGAGTTGAAACTGAGATTTTCATAAATCAAAACAATCAAACCTCTGCTTCGTTCAGTCAAACAACATAACACGCCAGCGGAAAACCTCGCCCTTTTTTCCCAAGCTTGTTCATGTTGGCTTTATTCGTTTACTTTTTCTACTGTCGTACGTAAGTTCACGGCTGGCCGGGTTCAAGCAGTAGTTTTTAACTGCTTCGTCATCTTTTTTTTGTTTTTTTTTTTTG